AAATTTTTTTTTTTAGGTTTAAAGGATTTTTCGATCAATAAAGTGTAATTTCTTTCTTTTTAACTTTTTTTAAACTTTTTTTTTGTTAAGCCTCATTTTACTCAATATAAACATAGTTATTTTATTTTACGGTAACTACCTATATCAGTTTTTTTTTTTTTTTTTTTTTACTGAAAGCTCTTATACGGCTCTACGTTTTAGGCCTAATTAAACATATTTTTCCCTTTTTAGCCGCACAGTAAACTACTGTCGGATCTTGAATCTGCAAAGATCGAAATAGCCGCTCAACAAGGGTTTGTCGATGAACTCGAGTCGGCTATATCAAAACTCAAGGTGAGTACCCTGCCATCTCGTGGAGGAAAAGTGAAAATTGTTGTCTGGATATTTCTTTAATTAAGAAAATCAAAATTAAAAACGTAGGTTAGCCACTAAAGTATAATCAACGCTAAAATAATTAAATACCTTTTGGCTACTGGCTTTTTTAACTTTAAAAAAACAAACACGGCCAGTGTTCTAATTATCAGTGACACATTCTCTTTTTGAGGTAAATAATCATTATCTTGACGAGTTGTCCAGTAAATCAAAGTATGTGTAGAGTGTAACAGGAAAATCAATATTGATCCAAAGAAGACCTCATTTTTGAAGCTCTTTAACGAATCACATTAAACCTAACTCATCCAGATAATCAGTAAAAACCTAACTCCTCCAGATAATCAATAAAAACCTAACTCCTCCAGATAATCAGTAAAAACCTAACTCCTCCAGATAATCAATAAAAACCTAACTCCTCCAGTTACTGAGTAAATCTGTCACATCTATATATAATCAGTAAAAACCTAACTCCTCCAGTTACTGAGTAAATCTGTCACATCTATATATAATCAGTAAAAACCTAACTCCTCCAGTTACTGAGTAAATCTATCACATCTATATATAATCAGTAAAAACCTAAGTCCTCCAGTTACTGAGTAAATCTATCACATCTATATATAATCAGTAAAACCTAAGTCCTCCAGTTACTGAGTAAATCTATCACATCTATATATAATCAGTAAAACCCAAGTCCTCCAGTTACTGAGTAAATCTATCACATCTATATATAATCAGTGAAACCTTAACTCCTCCAGTTACTGAGTAAATCTGTCATATATATATATATAATCAGTAAAAACCTAAGTCCTCCAGTTACTGAGTAAATCTATCACATGTATATATAATCAGTAAAAACCTAAGTCCTCCAGTTACTGAGTAAATCTATCACATGTATATATAATCAGTAAAAACCTAAGTCCTCCAGTTACTGAGTAAATCTATCACATCTATATATAATCAGTAAAAACCTAACTCCTCCAGTTACTGAGTAAATCTATCACATATATATATAATCAGTAAAAACCTAACTCCTCCAGTTACTGAGTAAATCTATTATGTCTATAAGGTGTGTAAGGTAGGTTTGTATTAGCATACTGAGGACACAGTGTGTCTGTAAGGTATGTCTGTATTAGCATACTGAGGACACAGTGTGTCTGTAAGGTATGTTTGTATTAGCATACTGAGGACACGGTTTGTCTGTATTATTATACTGAGGTCACAGTGTGCCTGAAAGTATGTCTGTATTAGCATACTGAGGACAAGGTGTGTCTGTAAGGTATGTTTGTATTAGCATACTGAGGACACAGTGTGTCTGTAAGGTATGTCTGTATTAGCATACTGAGGACACGGTTTGTCTGTATTATTATACTGAGGTCACAGTGTGCCTGAAAGTATGTCTGTATTAGCATACTGAGGACACAGTGTGTCTAAAAGGTATGTCTGTATTAGCATACTGAGGACACAGTGTGTCTAAAAGGTATGTCTGTATTAGCATACTGAGGACACGGTTTGTCTGTATTATTATACTGAGGTCACAGTGTGTCTGTAAGGTATGTCTGTATTAGCATACTGAGGACACGGTTTGTCTGTATTATTATACTGAGGTCACAGTGTGCCTGTAAGTATGTTTGTATTAGCATACTGAGGACAAGGTGTGTCTGTAAGATATGTCTGTATAACGTACATCTGGATATTTTATTTATTTTGGTTTTCTATAGGAGAAAGATGTCCGTATTATTCTTGGAAAATTTGAAGAACAGTGGGCGAGTAAAGTCTTTTGTGAGGTAAGTTAGGAATGTTTCCTTTATTGTCTATCTAATAATTATTATAATACGGAAGTTCCCTATACTGAACCAATTATTTTATGTCTTTAATGAGTTTAAAATCATTGGTTAATTATAAGAATACAGTTAACAAGTTAAATCACTCGTTTAAGTAGGTTTCTATGGAGAACTTGACTAATTAATTGATTAACCATCGACGTTACGGATAACATGTTGAACAACCACATGTTCTTCACAGTAAACAACTAATATGGCTCACGATTCATTTATAGTTTTAATGTATTCGGATATCTTTAAGATTAGATTAAGAACTGTTCTGTGTCCAGTCTATAACCGGGTCACTGTATCTCTAAACATAGTGACCGAGTTTTACACGTGTTCAGTCTATAACCGGGTCACTGTATCCCTAAACATAGTGACCGAGTTTTACACGTGTCCAGTCTATAACCAGGTCACTGTATCCCTAAACGTAGTGACCGAGTTTTGCACGTGTTCAGTCTATAACCGTGTCACTGTATCCCTAAACATAGTGACCGAGTTTTACACGTGTCCAGTCTTTAATCGGGTCACTGTATCCCTAAACATAGTGACCGAGTTTTACACGTGTCCAGTCTATAACCGGGTCACTGTATCCCTAAACATAGTGACCGAGTTTTACACGTGTCCAGTCTATAACCGGGTCACTGTATCCCTAGACATAGTGACCGGTAGTGTTATTTATGTATACTAACTCTTTTTTTTTAGGCCTACAAAGTGGGATTGTACGGGAAGAAGTACCAGTGGATCATCGTTGGAATGTATGATTATGATTGGTGGAAGAAGCATTCAGACAATCTTACTTGTAACCAATCACAACTCGGGGAAGCTATGGAAGGATACTTAGCTACAGACATTTTATCCTTAAGTTCTACCGAAGACATAACCGTGTCGGGGCTGGTAGGTTTATCAATATTTGATTGTTTTTTGTTTACTTAGTAAAACTGGAAAGCATGGGCAATGTTTGTTTTAACATAGATTCTAGCCAGTCTTAGTCCGACTGATTGAAGTCAGACTTTCTAATTAAATTAGAAGAACGAACCAAACGCTACCGAGCAAACCTTGAAAGACCTTAGATACACTTTTTTTATTTGGATTTTTTATCTTAAAAGTATATGGAATTGTTTATCCCAACTACTTTAAGCGGATATACCAGCTAAACCAGGCCCTAGTCGCGTCTAAACCAGGCCTTAGTCGCGTCTAAACCAGGCCTTAGTCACGTCTAAACCAGGCCTTAGTCACGTCTAAACCAGGCCCTAGTCGCGTCTAAACCAGGCCTTAGTCACGTCTAAACCAGGCCTTAGTCACGTCTAAACCAGGCCTTAGTCACGCCTAAACCAGGCCTTAGTCACGTCTAAACCAGGCCTTAGTTACGTCTAAACCAGGCCTTAGTCACGTCTAAACCAGGCCTTAGTCACGTCTAAACCAGGTCTTAGTCACGTCTAAACCAGGCTTTAATCACGCCTAAACCAGGCCTTAGTCACGTCTAAACCAGGCCTTAGTCACGTCTAAACCAGGCCTTAGTCACGTCTAAACCAGGCCTTAGTCACGCCTAAACCAGGCCTTAGTCACGTCTAAACAAGGCCTTAGTCACGTCTAAACCAGGCCTTAGTCGCGTCTACTTATAATATTGTAATTTATTGATACTTTACTTATACAGTTGATGATGGGGGTTGTTGATTAAATGCCTATTACTTCTGTAGCCCTCGAATAGCTTTGCGCAAAATTTAAAACAAATAAATACATTTTTGTAATAAGCGCATAGCCATCAATGGACTGTTTGCGCTGTGCTCACAGCAGGAATCGAGTTTCGAATTTTAGTGTTATAAGCCCTCAAACTTACAACAGTCATTGAAGAGTGGTTGTTTTAAAAACAATACCTTTTTTTTTATAACATACAGCCTACAATTTGGTGGGGAAAAATCGATGTAAAAATGTAAACAGTTATTTCGCAATCACGTTTAAAAAACAAATTATATGAATATAAAACCATTTTCGTTTAAAACTTTAAAACTGTAGTCGAAAAAAAAAGTTTCAAAAAAAAAAAAGATTTAAAACCAGGAAATACTACAACCACAGATTAAAAAACAAATTAAAATGTCATTTTTTGAACAGATCTTAAACTGAAAAGTAAGAATCAACAAAATATATTCGTATTTTCTGTTAGAGGAAGTTTGAATATCCAAGCTCATTTATTCTGGAGTATGGAATCTAAAATCGCCCTCTAGTGGATTTTAATTAATAATAAAAAAATAATGTTTCATAAGTTTCATTCACTAGAGTAAAATTAGAAGTGCTTCAGATATGGAGAATTACACACTGAATATATACATATACCACAACTAAACTACTGTTGTAATAGTGTTTGTCAGATATGGAGAATTACACATTGAATATATATATAAACCATAACTAAACTACTGTTGTAATAGTATTTGTCAGATATGGAGAATTACACATTGAATATATATATAAACCATAACTAAACTACTGTTGTAATAGCAAAACAAGAAATCCATATTTTTCCGTGTAGTATTAGACGTAACATATAATACTCACTTCTTGAGATCTTTCTAGATTTTGTTGTCAAATTTTCAGTTTTTCTAGATCTAAGCCACTTTATCTCGTGTTTCACACCTTTTCAACGCTGGACTTTATTAACTTCTAGGACCGTTATTGGAGTTAATATTTTACTACCAACATCTTCTGACAGATCAGAAAAACAGTTTTTAAAAACTTTGAAATCTCAATATATATATATATATATTGTAATATCGTACCAGACATAAACATTTTAATAACACTTCGCCTCTGTATCTTGCCCAAGCCATCAGGTACTTATGAAATGCCTTTCTTTACTTGTTATATTTTTCTTAGTGTACCGCTATAACATTAACTTCTCCATAATAAAGTTTACGTTTCGTCTCAGACTTCGGCGCAGTACGAAGCTCAGTACAAACAACGGTACGGCGGAAGCACCAATCGTTTCCATGGTTACGCCTACGACGGGATCTGGCTGATTGCCCTGGCTATCCAGATGGTAAAACGGAAGCTTATCGCTATCGGAAGCTCCAGAACGGTAGAGATGTTCGAATACAGAGATCCCTTGTGGGGCACTCTTTTCCGCGAGGCCTTCAAACAAACTTCGTTTATTGGGGTGACGGTAGGTGTCGCCACGCTTTTTCTTTTTTTTCGTGGTTATATATATATAAATGAAAGATATATCGAGTCATGTTAATCGTTGATTTATAAATTGTTTTCTAAAACTAACAATTTCATAATAAACTAACATGTAACACCATAACTTGTTCATTAATATATGCTAATTAATAACTCTCTAACATGATCATTTTTACTGTTATAGTCTGGAAATAAACATTTAAATGTTAACAGGTATATTTAAAATGTGACTTAAATTCTGGTTTTAAATTTTTGCTTTTATAATGATATTATTATATGTATTCTTATTGTAATTTACTCTGACGCGATGATCTGTATTACACCATTATGGTTTACTGACAAATATGTAACTGAACGTCGACACAAGTTTTTCGTATTCATTTACAGGGTCCAGTTAGCTTCACCAGAAATGAAAGGCGGGGTTTCATTCTTCTGAAACAATATCAGAGTAAGTTTGTGTTGTGTAAAACAATATCAATGTAAGTTTGTGTTGTGTAAAACAATATCAGAGTAAGTTTGTGTTGTGTAAAACAATATAAATGTAAGTTTGTATTGTGTAAAACAATATCAGTTTAAGTTTGTTTTGTCTGAAACAATATCCGTTTAAGTTTGTGTTGTCTGAAACAATATCAATATAAGTTTGTGTTGTGTAAAACAATATCAGAGCAAATTTATTTTGTCTGAAACAATATCAGTTTAAGTTTGTGTTGTGTAAAACAATATCAGAGTAAGTTTGTGTTGTCTGAAACAATATCAGAGTAAGTTTGTGTTGTCTGAAACAATATCAGAGTAAGTTTGAGTTGTCTGAAACAATATCAGAGTAGGTTTATGCTGTCTGTTTATCTTACTTTTACTTTATTTTACAAAAACATATATGAAACAGTCTCATCGATATTAAAATATATGTTTATCTGTTTATAAACTTACGATAATTTACAATATTTAGAAATCAGTTTGTTCGTTTTATGTATTATTAGTTACGTTGCTATAACATTAAATATATGTTTATATTTTCCGATAGATGGCACAGAGGTAAAAGTTGGCGAATATGACACTTTAACGCATAGGCTTAAGCTTCGTAAGGACGCGAGGATAAGTTGGCATGGTAAAGTATATATTTGTGGATTTATATTTATGTTTACCCAATTTTAATATAATTATATTTAAAATGTAATCAGAAATATCATACTGTAAAATATGCATTCTGTGCAATTAGTTTTAGCGTTCTCTCATCATATATCAGTAACGTTGATCCTGTTTGTAAGTTTCTTCTTAGTTTTAAAGTTCAGTAACGTTGATCCTGTTTGTAAGTTTCTTCTTAGTTTTAAAGTTCAGTAATGTTGATCCTGTTTGTAAGTTTCTTAGTTTTAAATTTCAGTAACGTTGATCCTGTTTGTAAGTTTCTTCTTAGTTTTAAAGTTCAGTAACGTTGATCCTGTTTGTAAGTTTCTTCCGAAATACTACGCGAGTTTGAGGAATTCTTCAAAAATATTTTTGAAAGAGTTTTGTGCAACTGTTTAGTATAGAGTTTATAGTTTTATGTGTCGAGCTGCGGGTCAAGGGTCCGAGCTTCGAGACATGATACCGATTATCACACTTTCAGTTGTGTGCGCGTTATGAAAACGACATTCAGTTTTGTTTTCAGTTCAGAGAAAGAGACAAAGGCAGCAGACACTGCTGACTGACTGCCTTCCTTAAGGTAAACATTAAGTGTGTGTGTGTGAGGGGGGTCGTCTTACCGTTCCGTTTAGTCCACATGCGTTTAGGGTGCCTTCTAGGTTGAAAATTTGCGATAATCGGTAATTTAGTTAAAACACTTTCCTAGCCACCAGGAGCATAGATTCGAACCTTTTTTTTGTCCCACTAGTTTATTCTAAACATCTTCTGTACTTTTTTTTTTCTCTTTCCTTCTAGGTGCCAACCACCCCCCGGTAGATAGGACCTTAATCGTCATCCAGCCATCCAGGGTCAGATTTACAATCTACGCTGTCATCGTGACCTTTGCTCTTCTAGGAATCATCATGGCGTCTATCTTTCTAGTTATCAATATACGGTTTCGAAATCAGAGGTTCACTTTACTTCCTGATGTCATTTCTACAATTAATTTATGCTACTTTTTATGTACCTATATATATAATTATGCTACTGTGCTAGTGCCTACATATAAAAGCTATATAGTAATATCTCAAAATGTAGTGGATCTACACCCACCTTGTGTTTACCATGTAATATAATGATGTAGTGGATCTACACCCACCTTCTGTTTACCATGTCTTTACATTAAACGTAATGATGTAGTGGATCTACACCCACCTTCTGTTTACCATGTCTTTACATTAAACGTAATGATGTAGTGGATCTACACCCACCTTCTGTTTACCATGTCTTTACATTAAACGTAATGATGTAGTGGATCTACACCCACCTTCTGTTTACCATGTCTTTACATTAAACGTAATGATGTAGTGGATCTAC